AATAGCTGAACTGCTAGAAGTAACACAAACTAGATCTTGTCTCTTATCAACCAGCTGTGAATAGCTGAACTGCTAGAAGTAACACAAACTAGATCTTGTCTCTTATCAACCAGCTGTGAATAGCTGAACTGCTAGAAATAACACAAACTAGATCTTGTCTCTTATCAACCAGCTGTGAATAGCTGAACTGCTAGAAATAACACAAACTAGATCTTGTCTCTAATCAACCAGCTGTGAATAGCTGAACTGCTAGAAGTAACACAAATGGCTATCAGGACATAAGTATAACCAACTTGTGAGCTTATCATTGCTACAACTATTGAATGTATTAACTATCTTATCACAAACATTAATTAAGTAGTTATATAATACCTGTTTCAAAATCTTAAAAACTATTTCAGAGACTTTGAGACAGTATTGCAACAGAACCAAGGAAATAAAAGCACATGTTTCTTGATTACCACATGATTGAGTAAGTTATGTAACTGATCTCAAAAACTTCAGTTCTTGTTTATAACTGTAATATGTAATATTCCCATCTTTTTATGTCTACTTCTTAAAAATGTTAAATACAATAATTTAATTACTTCTGAATCCAACCACCTGCTTTTCAATATTAGTAAAAAGCTTTGTCAATTGAAAATTGTATCTAATTATACTTATCATTAACAGTTTTAAATTAATTGGGTAACTATAGGAAATACTTGTTCGTGTTACCAATGTTATAGCTATCAGAAGCACTTAACTGTTCATTTCACCTCCTTCCACTTGAAGTCTTGTACTTTACAAAACCTGCATCAATACTAACTTCTAATACTAGTTGACAGCACATTTATCTTCTTACTTTATTATAAACAAAATGCTAAAATACATAGAATAAAAAAACCACTAATTACCATTTTAACAAATGCAAGGCTGAGGAATATTTATCAATCCTGATTTTATGTTGTATGAAAGCTTCATTTTGGATTTTTGTGGTTGTCTTAATAAATTCGTTTTTTTTATTCAACCCTGGTGGTAGTGGCTGTTTGTTTTTTTAGACCAATACAACTGGGTAAAGGTTGGGGGCATTATTGTTTTCAATAATACTTGTGAAGGAGGGTAATTAAAAGGGGTCATGGTAAAACCATTAAGTACATTTGATCTATTATGTGAAACGACTTGTTATTACCACACAAGACTTTCATTTGTGTTTACTCTACCGAATAAAAACATTGGTTAGTTTATTTTTCTCTATGATTTTGGATAAGCTGAATCTCTCCTTCATGTGTCTTGAAAAGAATAGCATAAGATTAGTTTTTAATCCATGTCTAGTAGGTACTACTGTTCCTTCAATATTCAGTTACAAACCAGATCCATTCCATTAAATATAAGACATACAGTGACTGTAAGTTATACAGAGGCTTACACATTGTCCATGTTTTTTAATGTTTCATGCCCTGCAAATTCCAAAATCTTAAACTCTGTTACTTTAATTATATATTCTGTATGGCTAATTCATTTCAAACTATTATTACCTTTCTCCTTCAGAGCTGGTATGTTCAGGAAATATTGTCTTTTACTATTGTCTGAAGTCTCTACTCTAACTTCAATAGGTTGATCCTTAACCTTTTAGAGGTATGACAATACAAATCTGTCTAATAATAATTTCATTCAACAATATTAACTAATTTCAAGTAATGTTAAGATTCATAACCCATTGTCCTTAACTCGTGTATTTTAAGTTTCATTTAGATTTCTTTATAATTGAAACCTGATCTTACAGAAGATCGACTTCATCTTTTCTAATAATGCTTGGAGCCGTCTCTAAGCATTATTAGTCCCGAAGTGGGTTTCTCGTCATCCAATTTGAATTAATCTTCTCTAGCTCTTCCTTCAGTTCTGTGAGTTTATTATCAGTATCTACCTTGTTAAGAAGAACTGTTGCTGTCTTAATTAAAATTGAATATTGTATCAGTACTTTTATGTTTATAATCATGTGTAATTAGTATCGCTTCTAAAACTTGTAAGCTTATTCTTTGTTAACGTATGAATATCATAGGAAGGATTTAGAGAATGTAACTGAACATCTTGGGTTTTAAAATTGCATTGTCTCTTTCTTCTGCCTTTGGGCAAACTACTGATAATGTGAGCTCATCTTATTCATTGTAAAACCAAACATCATGTGTTTGAGCTGTTAAAAATAATGATAAAAAGGATGTGAACTAATCATATGCTTTACATGTAATTTTGTCATCTTGTCTTTTCTTTTTATGAATATTGCAGAATTACATATCATTGTGGTACCTTAATATGCTCATTAATTCATACTAAAAATTCTAATTGGTCTTAGTACAGTGCAATAAACACTTGTATCCTGAGACATGCGTGTCTGTTATTGAAGTATCTAAATTACTGTTCTTTGTTTTGGTCATTAGTGGTAAGGAATTATTTATGTATACTAGTTCAGTACAATTTAATTACTTAATTGCTGTTTTTTAGGAAATATCAATAAAAATATTCAGTGTACTTTATGTAGAAGCTGTATTTACATCATTCTATTAGGTCACTTTTTTCAGTTTTTATGGACGTTTTTATGGGAAGCAACTTTTCATGTCCTAAGATA